TCCTTACCCTATTCTCCCAGGCACCGTGTTTGGACACATGAAGTTCCTTTTATTCCTCCTCCTTTCCAGTCCCACTGCATCTCTCTTCGTTCTGCCCACAATCACTCTTCCCCTCATATCACAATAGGCTCCTACTTGGCCTCCTTGCCTCTAGACTCTGGTTCATACCTAGTATGGCTGTCACACTCAATTTGCCTAAAGCCAACTCTAATTATATCTTTTTTCCAAAGATTTCTATGGCTCCCCAGTATCTTTTAGGTAAACTGACCAACCATCTTACCTTTGCTATTTATTACAAACCCTGTCCTCCAAAAAATGAAATACTCACATGTTCTCTTACATGCCTTGTGTTTTTCCAACGCCATGCCTTTGCTTGCATTGTTCCTTCCATGCTTTTTGTCCTCTCCTGGACATCCTTTGTATATTCACAGGAACTCTCAGATATAATCTCTTCTATGATCCCTGCCTGCTGTCCTCAGCCAGATGTAACCAACTTCTTCCCTCAATTTATTCCTGAAAAAGCACAGATAGCTCTCTTGGGCCATTTATGACTTTCCACTTAGTAGTATACTTATGCATGCGCAAGTTTTACCCTCTCTGCCAGAGTGTAAAGCTCATTTAGTTATGTGTTCCTTCAGCAAATATTTTTTTGAATGTCTATTAAGTGCAACCATTCTGTAAAGGTACAGAAGTGAACCAAACACGACTCCTCCCCATCAAGGGACTCATGATGTAATTAAGGAGACAATAAAGAAAATAAATCACTGGGCTTCCCTGGTGGCGCAGTGGTTGAGAGTCCGCCTGCCGATGCAGGGGACACGGGTTCATGCCCCCGGTCCACGTCCCGCGGAGCAGCTGGGCCCGTGAGCCATGGCCGCTGAGCCTGTGCGTCCGGAGCCTGTGCTCCGCACAACGGGAGAGGCCACAACAGTGAGAGGCCCGCGTACCGCCAAAAAAAAGAAAGAAAATAAATCACTAATGTTTAGTTTACAAACAGTGTGTCAGAGGTACGTACAGAATGTTCTGGGGGAACACAAAGGAGGTGTATCAGCTCAGCCTTGGAGAAGAGGGAGAGCAGAAAACTTCCATGAGCAGGTGATACTGGAACCAAGTCTTAAGTGCTGAGTCAGTCATGGATGATGTGGTGGGTTTGGCGGTGAGAGGATACATTCTGGGTATGGTATATTTAAAGGCTACCAGTTATAAGCCAAGGCCAAGCTTATAACCAGTTCATATTCATGTCCCATACTACATTGTTCCAACACCTGCATTAGAACAGGACCATTCCATTATAAAGTATTCACCATTCCGACTTGTGATGAGAAAAAGGCAATGTAGTGAGTTGTCAAAAATTTACATTGTATGTGTCTTTTAAATTGTAAAATGATGACCATTCTTCTTTTTGTTGTTGTTAAATGTTCCTTCTTTAATGAAACAGTGGTGACAACACAGAGTTGTGTCAATGTTTTATTTAGAAAACTAAAACACTGGTAATTTTTTTATTTTTTAATTGACGTATAGTTGATTTACAATGCTGTGTTAGTTTCTGCTGTACAGCAAAGTGATTCAGTTATACATATGTATACATTCTTTTTTATGGTTTGTCATAGGCTACTGAATATAGTACCCTGTGCTGTACAGTAGGACCTTGTTGTTTATCCATTCTACATATAATAGTTTGCATCTGCTAATCCCAAATTCTTAATCCATCCTTCCCCCACCCTCCCTCCCCCTTGGCAACCATAAGTCTGTTGTCTATGTCTGGAAACACTGGTAACTTTAAATGCTGCTCCAATTTTAAAAATTTTGTTTTACTGACCCATGATTTTCAAGAATCAAGCTCTCAGAAGTATTAGTGGATTAGAATTCCCTGGACAGCTTTAAAAAAAATGTATTTTGAATTCCTTATGTCACCTTAGTCTTAGTGATTCAAAATTTCCAAGGTAGGAGCTTAGGAATTTGCCTTTTTATAAAACTTCTTAGTTGATTTTGAAAAGCATCCTGATTTGGGAGCAGCTGCTGTACCTGGATTTAACTCACCTGAATAAGTGTCAAATGGATGCGTGGGTGCTGCTCATATAAGGATACATTTAGGGACATAAACTCCTTTTTTCCCCAACAATGAAATGCACACATCTTAAGTGTACGTGAAAGATAACTCTTTTACGAGAAAGTCTGATTCTTAAGAAGAGAGGAGAAACAGGAGATTATTTTAGGCCTTTTCCTTTTGTGAACAAAGGGTAATGAAGTGAAAACATAGTACTCTTCAAATGACTTGGTCACTGACGTGAACATGTTTAGGATGAAAAATCATTGTCCGAGAACTGCAAGACTAAGTATGCTCCTGTGAGTGTCACTTAATAAAAAGAAAGTAACATTTTAAAGTCAAGAACATTGATGAATAGGGCAACAAACTTTTATTAATGATCCTTCAGTGACCTGAAAATGCAAATAAACGTCTTTCAGGACCTATTTTAATTAATTAATTAAAACATATTAAGGTTTTAATTTAATTTAATTATTTATTTCATGTGGGATCTTAGTTTCCTGACCAGGATCAAACCCATGCTCCCTGCATTGAAAGCATGGAGTCTTAACCACTGAGCCACCAGGGAAGTCCCCAGGACATAAATAATTTTAGATAGAAAACCCCCAGGTCATTTTTCTACATTTCCTTGCCGTATTCCATGATATTAGAGTTCAGCCTTGCATACACAGTCCCAAAAGCATGAATACTGGGGCACTACTCTGAACCTAGGGAATTTCACTTGCTTTTCTCTTAGCATTTAGATTCATAGAAATTTAGACGTCCCTGAGTTGAGTTCCTGATTTTGTGGGCAAGGAAACGGGTCCCAGAGGGTCTGTAGGACACATCCAAGGCTCCACAACAGAATTAGGACTTTCACAGTCACTTGGTACTGTTTCGTGCATATTTTCACAGAAAATTGCACTTCATGCTTTTCTCTATTGTACATTCATTTTTCATTGAATCACACAAATTGGTAAAGTAAGACAGGTTTTTAATATTTACATTTGTCAGGGGAGGAAAGATAGTCCACATGATGAAGGGCTTGCCCATAGTTATACAGCTACGCCAGTCAGCTCCAGCTGCCATAACGAAATACCACAGACTGGGTAGTTTAAACAACAGGACTTTCTTTCTGACAATTCTGGAGGCCGAGAAGTCCAGGAGCACGGTGCTGGCCAGCTTCGTTTCCCAATGATGAGGGCTCTCTTCCTGGCCTTCTCTCTGCGTCCTCGTGTGGATGGGGGTGGGTGGATGGTGGAAACAAGCTCTCTGGTCTCTTCTTATAAGGGCACTAATCCCCTCTTGAGGGCCCCCACCCTCATGACCTCATCTAATCCTAATTACCTCCCAAAGGCCCCACCTCCAAATACCATCATATTGGGGGTCAGGGCTTCAACAGATGTGAATGTTGGAGAGGATACACTTCAGTCCACAGCAACCGCTGAACTAGGACCAGAACCCAGCAGAATTGGTTTCAGTGACGCTGCACAAACATGTGTTGGGGTGTCCGGGGTGAGGGGCCCTGCAGTATTACATACCCATGCCTTGTCAGTGGCAGGAGAGCTTTGGAAATAACCAGGGCAGCAAGTGCCAGAGCGGGGAATAGCGCTCCGGGTATCCAGAAGCAGATTTTACCTCCAAGCGAGCAGAGGAAGATGAAAAGGTTTTCAGCAGGTAAATATTTGAGCGAGGACAGTGCAGGCATGGGGAGAGCTCTGCAGTGGAAAGGTGTGGGCTGTCTCTGGGGAATGGGGTAGAGCGTGTTCAACCACAGGAATGGGCACGTCACGCAGTGGGGCTGGAAAATACAGCGTTCTCCTCGTTGCCGCACTCTGTGTGTACTCCGTGGACGCTGTGTCTCCCTTTTTACTGTCTGTTTCCTGGGGTAGAGACCCTGCTCTTTATTCATCTGGAAACTAGCAAGGACTATGGAGAGGGTGGTCCATAAATCTCAAGGCTATTGAAAGGAAACAAAGCCGGAGGCGCCCCAGCCGCGGCGAGGCCGTGCCAGCTGTGAACCCGGGCAGCAGAATGTTTCCCGACTGAAAGTGGAAACGCAGCAGAGCAAGAAGGCAGAGAGAAGCAGGTCTCTTGCTAGTGATCTTAAACTGGAGAAAAAAAGAAAAATGATCTTTTCCTAAAATACACGAGGAAGGGGACCTGGGCTTTGAAGTCAACGTTTTCCTTGCACTACTGGTCTCCAGTGGGAGGAAGCTATCCCGGGCTCTAGTGGCCACTGGTAAGGAACAGGAGGGATGAGGCCTAAGAAACAGAGGTCAAAAGCGTGGAAACACGGCCGGGCGGAGCGGCGAGGAAAGGGCGAAGCCGGCTCCGGGCCGGCAGCGCGCTGGGAAGGGGCGCGCCCTGCGCGGGGTCGAAGCAGAGGAAAGCTGCCTCATGGCAGCCCTTCCTCTGCCCGGGGGGAGGGCCTTCTGCAAACCTGCCTGGACTCGGAACAATTCATCCTGTTTTTTTTTTTTATCCTGTTTTTAATAAAATCATTTTCAGAACCCCAAAGAGGGCGGTACCCAGAGGAATCTGGAAAATACCCCGCAGGGGCGGGGAGTGGGGCGTGTCCGTATCAGGCCGCTGCAGGCGAACAGACGGTCGCATTGCGGGCAGACAACAGTGCACCGTTCCAGAGGCCGAAACGCGCCCCCGCCCGGGCCGAGCTGCGGGCCCCCACCTACCCTGCGCACACCCCCGCGTACACCCCCGCGTCTCTGGGCCTCGGGGTCCCGGCGGGGGCGGGGCGTCAGCGGCTGGGGGAGGGGCCTGGCGGGGGAGCACGGCTGCGGCGGCGGGAGGTGCGGACCCTTCCGTCCCCTGGTTGGATCTGGGCTGAACAAGGGGCGGTGTCTTGCGGCGGTTCTGCGGGCCAGCATTGGACGCTGGATATGGAGGGCGTGGTTTTGTGAAGTCAGTTCCGGTCGGTGTAAATCCCCCGGGGCGGCGGCGAACGGGCTTCAGATGCTTCTGGGTCGCGGTAGGGAGAGCTCCGGAGTCCGAGTGTGTGAGCTTGAGCGCCGAGCGCTAGAGCGACCCGGCGAGGGATGGCGGCCACCGGGACCGCGGCCGCCGCGGCCACGGGCAAACTCCTGGTCCTGCTGCTGCTCGGGCTCACGGCGCCCGCCGCGGCTCTGGCCGGCTACATTGAGGTGGGCACCGGGCGAGCGCCCGAGCCCTTTTTCCTGCGCCCGCGAGGGAGCGCGGCCTGCTGGCGGGCGGGCCGTGGGGTTCGGGCCGGGCGGGGAGCGCGTCGCGTGGGGGCGGTGGGGGTGGTCCGGCGCTGCAGCGGGTCTGGCGCGCCTCCCCCGCCCGCACCTGCTTGGCGCAGCGTTTAGCGCTGGAGGTCGGGCTGCCTCCGACGCCGCAGAGGCCAAATGAAAGGCATCGGGGTTGCGGGGGGCGGCGGGCAGCCTCGGCCGCCCCAGCCCCCATCCCGCCCGCGGCGGCGCCACATTCTCTGGGGACCCCGCGCCGCCCAGACGCCCACCCCGCCCTCCCCCGGGACCACGCGAGCCTCTGCCGTGCGCCCTGGGGCGGCCCGCAGCCCGAGACCCGGTGCGGCTGGGCTCGCTCCGGGGGCGGCTGTGCAGACCCTGGCCCCGGGCTGGGGCGGGCAGCGCGCTCCCCGCGGGGGGCCGGAGCTTCCCACCGGGGAGCGGCGGATGCGGCCTTTGTTGGCGAGGTGGGCCGAGCCGCGGGGATGCGGGCGTCCCGGCTCGGCGCCGGGGGAGTGCCGCGGTGCGGGGCGAGCGCCTCTTGGGCTGCACCGGAGAAGCTCCGCAACCCCGCAGCGGGTGTGCCCTCTCCTGCCTGTGTGCCTCTCGCTCCAGATCCTGCGCGCTGGCATCGGGCCTTCGGGAGGAATTGTTAAATATAGCCGTTTGCCTGAGTCCAATAAACAAGGGGAAACCCCTCTCTGCTGCTGGTGTTGCTCCCTTTTGTGGTGGGTTTCAGCGAGCAGGGACGCGGTACCCGTGAATACGTTGTAAAAACTCTTGTCTAATCGTACTTTTTTGGTGTAAGTAGTTTTTCTGCACCTGATAACCCCGTGCCATCTCTGTGCCGGGAGGATGTTCCAGCGCCCGGGCCTCCTGGGTGATTCGCTGGGGTCGGGCCGCGGGGACAGGCGGGGTTGCTGAGGTCCGTGGGTCCTGCAGGGTGGCCGGGACGTGGCCGCTTCCCAGAAACCTTTCTGTTCCTGAGGGAGACGTGGGACTTTAATTTTACTTGCCTTCTCGAAATAGTGCTTGAACTGTCGGACTGGAATGTTTGGGGTGTGTAGTTTATTTCCCCTCTTCGCTATTTTAAAAATTACACTGGATTTCTGCGTGGTTGGCTAATTTCAGAGAGAAGTGAAACTGGATTTGATTACCTAGGCATTGACTGAGAAGTTTCTAATAAAAACCCACAGTTAGAACGTGTTCTTCTGCAGAACGTGTAAATATTTCCACGATTAGAATAAATCTAATCAAGAACGAACCTCCGATGGAACGGCTTAAAACGTTTGTATTCATCCTGCTTAAAGCTTTGATTCTTGGGGGGCCGGGGGGGGGAGAAGTTTTAAGTAGAAATAGTTAATGTTTATATACGCATGCTTTTAGATTAGGATTATTTTCGTTGCCACACAGTGGTTAGTTGGATTTATATCTGTGGTCTCCAATATGGTGTCGCAGGGAAGCAAGCTAGATCATTGGGATGGGAGGGGAAGGAAGAAGATTTTGTATGGAACATAGAATTTAACTCTTAGGTCAGGATGTCAAAAACCATTGTTCACACTTTTACCTCACTTCCCAGAGGTATGAGTAACGTCAGGCACTAGTGAATTCACAAAAAAGGGTCCATCAATTTTAAAGTACATCTTCCTTTCAGGTTTAAATGGAATATTAATACTTGATGCCTACAGAGAAAGAGAAATGAACAGTATCAGAATTAGCTGTTGTGGATTAAATTTGATTATTACCCACATTATTGTTCAATCGGAAAGTCTGGCTAGACAGAAAGTAGGCATTAGACATTTCCCTAAAATGGTTTTTGAATGCTTTGTTATGAAACTTCTCTTCTTTGGAACTGTGTTTTTGCCCATACTTGATAAATTACCTTTCAAATGGTTTTTCCTTTTGTGCAAGAGGCAGCATTTCCTTCATATGTATATAATTTGATTTAGTTTATTTGCTTTCAGGCAAAGGACTGCCTAAGCCTTGATGTAGATGAGAATGGCCTAAATCAGGATTCGCTTTGGGATGGTCCTTATTGAGATGAGCCAAAAGGATTCTAGCCAAATCCCTGATCAAATTGCTTGGCACAGAATTATTGATTGGCCAGTCTTGAGTGTTGCTTGGTGTTGACTGAATTAATCTCTTACACCTGTTTAAAAGAAAAAAAGTCTCTGTACTCAGGGTCACTTCCTCTGTTAAATCTGAGACAAGTTCAGTCGTGGGCCTGCTCCCATGTGGGATTCTCAGATGGTATTTGTGCTGAAATTCTGCACTCTGTACAGTGGACATTGAGGCTTCTGAGAGCCAGTTCATTCCACCACATTTTAAAATGGGCCCTTTGATAGTCAGTTTTCAGGAAACTCAACGTATGACGTCTGAGGCAGAGGATCAAGAAGCTTTGTGCTGATATTTTTGATTGGTGGTGGAGGGGATGTCACATTATGACCTGGACAGATACCAATGCCTCTGATAGGAACATCAGCCTGTTAACCTCATAACCATGTTAAAATCGTTTGATCAATGTGATGAGCTGAGTTTTGGCAAATCAAGCCCTCCTCTCGCGGGCTTTTGTTTCAGCCTTTAAAGCTGGGCTGTCCCACAGTGTAGCCACTTGCAGTGTGGCTGTTGTGATTGAGGAATGAACTTTCCATTGTATTTAATTTTAGCTAATTTATATTTAAAAACAAATACTCTATTCGGTGATTGGAAAACATTTATCTGTGTTTGAAACAACTTGGTATGAGTCTGCTTTTTGAACTATTTGATACATTTTATGAAATCTAAATGCAGATCCAGTATTTCTTGTGAAAATTTAGCATCTGAATTGAGGTGTACTGTAGGTGTAAAATGCACACCAGATTTTGAAGACTTAGTATGAAAAAACTAGTAAAATAACTCATTTATAATTTTCATATTGATCGTATTGAAATGATAATATTTTACACATTGGCTAAGTAAAATATATTAAAATTAGTTTCACCTGTTTCTTCTAATTTTAATGTGTCTTCTAGAAAATACAACATATGTAACTCATATCTACTGGACAATACGAATTTAATTTCTTGCTTAAGGTTGGTGCTGCGTGAGTGTTTTTATGAGCACAATTTTTAAATACGTTGCTGTTTTTTCCCCCAATAAAATCTTGCTTAAAGTTGGTCCAGTATGATCTTAAGAACAATTTTGAATATTTTTCTGTTACTTTTTTTCAATTAGAATTTTTATTTAGAAATAACTTCAAACTTACAAAAAATTATAAAAATTGTACGAACAGCTCTTACACCCTTTACCCAGATTCATCAATGTAACATTTCTCCTATTCAGCATTTGCTTTTTCATTCATTTTGTTATTACGTATTTTTTGCTGAACCGTTTTGAGAGCAGGTTGCATACATCATGTCCCTCTACCCCTGAAAACTTCAGTGAGTATTTCCTAAGAACCAAGGAAGTTGTCCTACATAAGCTTAGTACAGTTATCAGCTTAAAGAAATTTAACTTTGATACAATACTTTGATCAGGTCTGCTGTCTGTATTCCATTTTGCCAGTTGAACCAATAATGTCCTTCATAGCATTTGAAAGCATGTTTTTGTTTGTTTGTTAAAGAGCTTTAGAATTCTTGGCAATAATATGTGAAGGGTTAATTTTTTTCCAAATATAAAAATCATATTTTTAACTTATCTGATATTGTTTCAACTCTGGAAAATCAAAACTTAAAAACCTTTCAGGATTCCTTAATTATATTTCTCCTACTGAATTCTTGGGCTTTTGCACTTTTTTTTAAAATAAAAAAAATTATATAGGGAGTGCATATTCATTGTAAAAATTTAAAATGCATTTGAACAATAAGAAATGAAAAATAATCTGAGATTGTGTTGTCCAGGGAAATCTCACTGTAAACGTTTTGGTGTGGTGTGTATCCTAGAGCTCTCAGGTACATACATTTTATCAAAGTGATACATAAATTGCGTATTGAAGCTGGTACCTAAGAATTAGTATTTTGAATTGTTCTAAAATGAACTACTGAAAGAAAATAGTTTTCTGTGTGATAAAAAGTAGGGATACATTTTTGTACAGTAACTGTAAAGTCTGTGGAGGGAGGCCATTTGAGAATTCAAAATCGCCCATAATCCAATTTTCATGAGTTGTTTTTTTAGTGAGATAAACTAGATTACCTTGACTCTTAATTAAATTTCGTATAGTGTACCTTGATTTATGTCCTAGGATGGAAAGTGAACCATGTAGGCGCATTCAAATAGAAACAAGTTCCAGTCCTTTGTATCAAGTACAACTAATAACTACTTTATTGCCGAGAGAAATTTTCTTACATAAGCATCATAAGGCTTTTTTAAATGAAACTTTTTGAAACATAACTATAGTCTATTTTTAAAATACAACTTTTCATTTGTTATTCATCCCACTAGTGTTTGTTGAACACTGCTACCAGGTTCTGTGTTAGATGCTAAACAGTGCAGTAATAAAAGCAACTGTGCGTAGGGCCTTTTCCGCTGCAGTGCACTTGCGTGATGTGATTTCCAGGCCCTATCCCCAGAGATTCTCATCGAGGATATCTGGGATTCTCATTGTCACAGGCTCCCCAGGGGATTTTTATGTGCAGGTAGAGAAAAACAAACTCCAGTAAACAAAAAGCCAACAGAACTCATTTGGGGACATTATCTTATGTAAGCCCCCAAAAGTCTGGTGAAGTAGGTATTCGTATCCATACCTAAAATGGGAGTCGGGCGAGGCGGAGGGTTCAAGGCAGTGCAGCAGGGCCAGGGTGAAAATTGGTCTGTCGTATTCTGAGTCTGTCGTGCGCTCTTTCTTCTATATCAGGGTGTTTTGGTTGCAGATTTCTTTTTACTCCGGTCTACCTGTTTTCTCCACTATCAAAAAACCTGATGTGAATATTTTCTTTAAAAGAAACTAATTTCATAGA